TCTGCCAATCTGATCTGGGGCAAAATTCCCACTGATTTTAATGGGGCCCGGATTTTACCCAGAATATCCTGTTTCCACTCACTGAGCTCAACATGGGTGGCCTACACCCAAAGACAACCTAGCTGTAGAGGGTCATGCTCATTAGCAATCCAGCTTCAGCCCTAATGGGAAGTGCATACACTAAACACATACACGTCTGCATGCGTGCTGTCTGCCTCAGCCCTCCACAGGCACTGCGCTCTCTGATACCACTGCTGCAGCCACGCCGCTTTGCACCAGTTCCCTTCCAACACAGCTGCAAAGGCCGCAGTCTCTGGCTAAATCTCTTTCCACTACTCGATAAGCAGGCAAGGCCCGGAGAAGTCATTTCAAACAGCTCCTCAATTGCAGCACTGTCCGCTGAAGATTAGTAACTTTGCTTTGCCTCTGAGTAAGCCAGCAACAAAATCACCTAGGAGTAAACTTTTGAACTATGGGAACTTGGATACCTTTGTCAATGACTTTTAATTAAATCCAAAGCAGAAATTTGTCAACATGGATTTTTTTTTGCTGAGGATTTTGTTTCTGACTAAGAATCCACTTCTTTCTTGGCAATAACTAGCATGAATTTGAACAGGAATAATGAACAGTAAGCAAAGAAAAAAGTTTGGATGAAAAATATTGCTTCAGCAAGTTGACTTAGAAACAATGAAATAATAATTGGGTTAGATCATATTTCAAGAAAATAAAGCTGTTTAAACATTCCTAGTTGTAAAAAAATTAAACTACAAAATATTTCTTCAGTTGGCAATTCCTTTCGAAAGCACACACATTGTCCCCCAGTCATTTCCAAAGAAGTTCTTCCCTTGTAAAGACTGGCATTAAAATAAGATTTGGCTTAATTTTTTTTCCATTATTTTGTAAGATCCTGTATAATTACAGTGCATTCCTGTTTCAAGTTGGCTAAAATTGGCTTCCTACTTTTACCACTGTCTCATGCCACTTAGAGCTGCAGTACACACTGGAAACTGGAAAAGAGGTTCCTTTGAATTCATCATTGTTCCTTGGTGTAGTTCAGTTTCTAATTCATTTCACTTCTTTAATTCTCAGATATTTGTGACTCTACTCTGAAAACTGATTGTAAGAAAATGGCATTGCAGGGCTTGTGTTCACTGCATTCCAATCATTTCCATTCTGGTTACTCAGGGTTTACTGGTAAAAAATATGTCTTTTCTACCTAGCAGCTTTGCAAATTTAACCTGGGATCTGAAAGTCAAGCTGGGTTTTCTCCCCGTCATGTGTACCAGAAAAAAGGTTCTGTAGCCCAGATTAAAGCCTAGATTTTCTAAGGTATTTAGGTGTTCAACCCCCAGTGGTAGATCACCTAAATACCTTTGAGGATTTGGGCCCATGTCCTCAATTACAGTTGTGTAAGCCCATTGTTGCCAGTAGGATAACACAGGTTTAACTGGCAGGCTGCATAACTGGAACTTGGTAGACAATTCTACTGACAGCACACAAGGAAGACAGGAAAGAAACGCCCTCCCTTTAAGCTGTGTTGGTTCTGCAGTGTTTAAAGCAGTAAAAAGTAGCAAAACCATATTGCTTGTTACTAAAATGGGACGATAAAGCTGAATACAAGCAGGGAACAGATCTGCTGAACCAGAAGGTACCCTTTTTACATAATCACTTTTCAAGGAATATCAGCTCCTTATGTAACTCCCCAATAGGGAGTCCAGATGCATGCAGTAAAAATATCAAAATTGCAGTCACAGTAAAATATACAGATATTCAGATGCAGGAAGCAGATAAGAAAAAAAAAAGATTAGAAAGTGTCATTTGGGCCAGATCCTAAGATGGTGTAAATCAGCAAAGCTCCATTGATTTCAGTGGAGCTACCATCAATTTACACCAGCTTAGGGTCTGGCCCTTTGCCAACTGAAATGCACTCCCTGATGAGGCCTGCACAAGAATGGCTAAATATCACCAACCAAAACTGAAACTTGGTACGACAGACAAGTGAATATTGTCAGAGATGATTTTAAGAACCCATTGAACCAGGGCTAACATAACCGAGCCAAAAAAAATAGGATACTGTGCCCAATCAATACTGTGGAAAGCAATGTACCTACAGGGGGAGTGCTACCTTTCATTTTTATTATTCGCACGTGCAGCAATTTATTCATGTGAATAATGACCCTTGTGCACAGGGCTTTTCACTAGCATTTTCCCACATGGTCACAATTTATCACTGGTTATCTCGTGACAGCTGATGATAAATTGGCCGAGTTGCAGAATGAGGTATAAAATACAAGAAGTTTTGTTTGTTAGATAAATACTGTTTGACTGCCCATGTTATTTGAAATAATAACTGAATTATATAATGAGATTAAGCCATGTCATATGTGTCGCCTGAATGTCCCCAGTGATACAAATTGCTTGGCTGCTGCTGTCGGTGCCTCCTTCGTAAAGCATCCTGATGACAAGATGATGAATTGAAGATATCATTGCCAATTAATGATTTTTAGACAGAAGGGATTTCAATTGTTCCCTCATGTTTGTGAGGGTGAGTGACATTTGCATCATCTCTAACAAAATAATGTAGTCTGCTATTGGCCAGACAAGATGTTATGACTCAGTGAACGTTATCTTTGGAGGGGAAATGCCAATAAACACATTCAGGTTCTTCTGTGGTAGAAACACACCAGGGTATTGTTCCAGTGCAGAGTTTAGCTGCAAAATAATCTGTATTATGTAGTTCAAACCTACATTAAAGCTCAAGCCCAGATCCTCTGAGATATGTAGGCATCCAACTCCCCTTGGTTTCAGCAGGAGTTTGGCACCTACATACCAGTGAGGATCTGCGCCCCAGGATCCTAAATGCCTCTGACTTGCAAGGGAATTAAGGACTGAGCACTACTGCTTAATTATACCAGTATAGTTAAAGCAGTGCCACCTCCTTACTGTGACGCAGTTACACTGGCATAAAAGTGTTCATACTGGCATAGCTATTCTCCTACAGGAAGGGGCACTATGATACTAATACTGTTCTACTGCACCCACACGAGAGGTTGCCCTGGTCTACAGCTTCTCTGTGGCCCTGGCCAGCTTTTCAAGGCCAGTGACAAGGTTTTGGTTTATTTAAAGTCGGTAGCTGTTAGTCTGGATAATTTTCACGGCTGCTGCTGACGACAGCAGCCCGGAAAGACCCAATAAAGCCAAAGCAGAACAGAGCAGCAGCTCTGGTAGCCAACAGAGCAGTGAGTGCAGGAGGGGAGGGGAATCAGTGGCTCAGTAACCAGCGGAAGTGCCCATCACATGGCGCCCAATCAGTGCTTGCTATCTTGGGGCAATTTATGTTTAGCAGGCAGGCAGGTTCTTGCCAGTATGTCTGGCTACATTCCCTTGCCTGCAGCAATCAAGATTTCCTCCATTTTGGCTGGTGCTGCTTGGTTCCTCTTGTGCCAAATGCTAAGCCAGACGCACCTCCGCCACAGGTGGAGAATTCATTATCAGGGCAAGGGAGGAACAAAGTATCTGCGGGGTGTTCAGAGAGAGGAACATCCTAGTGTAACCCCTCTGGGGTTTAGAAAACATGGCCCCTTTTGGAACAGGTGCCCCTGGGGTGAAAGGAATTTTTCCTGTGCACGCCTTCTCTTGGCCAGAGCTGCCCGCAGAGAAGCCTCCATCTTGGCCACGAGGGCGCTAAAGCTACACTAGTAAAAGCAAGGTTTCCTTATAACGAAAGACCTCTCCCCCAAAAGTAAACTTCTCTACTCCCTCCCTTCTAGGAGACTTGTAAAAGGGACAACAGCTATCTCTGGGTTTCTCCCAAAGACTTCAGTGGAGTTTTGTGTGATCAACAATTGCATGATCAGGACCCTTGTTTGATACATACCCAACGAGAACCCACCATGGGCACATGTCCTACTCTCCTTACTCACCACAAACTCACACTTATTTCAGGCAGGAGGAAAGCGAACTCAACATGGTCTGTAAACTCAAAGGGAGGTTACCCTACACACCAACAGACCATTAACAACATGCAGCCCAGCAGCCAGAATGAGAAAATGTCTTCAAGTTACAAGGGAGTATGCACATTCAAATTACAATTTACAAATAATAATGCAAAAAAGCCACTAGTAAACACAAATTGCATTGAAATGGCCTTCTGTCTGTGTTATCACCAAATAGTTTTCTAATAAACCACCTATTATACACTTAAAATTGAAGTGTAATTTAAAAAAAACAAACAAGCGTGTTATAATACAACAATGTTCCAGCAAATTCTACATTGTTTTATATTGGATTTATTTAAAAGTCCTCTTTTAAGATACTTAGTTGCCATTAAATATATGTCTTAGCTAAGGCCCTGACCCTGAGATGTATTTATGGTTGAAGTAAGCAAAGTTCTGCACATGTGGGAGCTTTTTCCGGATCCGAGTCTAAGATCATATTTTAACTTTGAACAGCTGAGCACCACAAAGCAACTGCAAGACAAAGTAGACAATTCCCATTATATGAAACTCCCCTTTTCTTGCTTTTTACTGAGAACTAAAAGGAGAGAGAGAGATTTATATTAATTTACATATAATAAATTATGTCTTGATTTTGAAAACAAACTGTAACGCTTCCAAGCAGTAATCCAGAAGGGAGAAAACAAACCTTTAAACATTTTATCATCCGAAAATGCCAAAGTTAAATAGATATATATATATAAAACCATTATAATGGGCCAGATTCTGATCCCCTCATTCACTCCGAATAGCACGTTACGCCACAAGTACCACTACTGAGCAGATTCTCCACACTCACAGCACTCTGGCAGTGGAAAGAGCCTTTAACGAGGAGTAAATTACAGCCTCTTTCCATGGCTCTGGTGAATGAGAACCAGGTCCACTGACTTCAGTGAGATGATCTATGACATATGGTACTCTGCAGCGTGAAGGAGCGTACCCAAATATGGCCCAAGATGTGTGTCGTGCAAAACCAGAGCACCAGTTTCCCTTGCAAATTCTTACCTTGACAGGTGCTGTTCTTCTCCTCGTACCCTGCCTTACACATGCATTTTCCAATGGGCACCAGCCATTCCCCTTCTGCACTGCAGTGCATCTTTGGAGGCTCATCGGTCACAGAGTGGTTCACACACGAGCCCGACACTTCCAGCAGCTGGGAGGAATCTGCCCCAGTGATGGTGTCGGGAAAGAGGGCCAGGTTACGTATAACGGAAGGGCACTTTTTGTAATACACTCGCACGGACACCAGGGCGATGCAGGCACCTACATCCTGGAAAGCCAAGTAAAATCCCTTTTTGGTCAGAGGCCCAACATCTCTGACCTCGGTGTTCAGTTTCATGACTCGGTCTCCAAGGTCGAGCTCTGTGAAGCTCTCATCTGCGGCAATGGTGTCGATCTTGATGTACTGGTTTTCTTTGACGTTCCTTCCGTCTGCGTCGTCCGATTCAAAGTAATACACATTGAAAGTCTCTTTGCAAGTCCCGAGTCCTCCTGGAAGACTGTTACAGTCCCTCAGAGTGAACTTGAGTTCAATGAAGATCCGGGAGGCTCCTTCATTGGAGATCCAGCTAGTCAGAAGCCAGTTGTTCTGATTCTGTTCCATTACTTTGCACACTTGATATGTGTGTATTGGAGCATAATTTTCATCCACCTCACCAATTTCTTCCCACTGTGCAAAAAGAGAGAGGATTACTTAAAAAAAAAAAGCAAGCAAGCCACAAATCCCTAAAAATCTTAACTTTCTTGCAAGAGAGCTGCACTGCTGGAAGAAATGAGAATGTTAAAATGATTTCCATACCCTAGGCCTGACCCAATGCCCCACGAAGTCAGAGGACAGATTCCTACTGAACATAAAGGCCACTGAGGGCAGGACTACGCTTGCAGATGTAGAGAGCTGTGAGTTAAACCGGCCCTCGTAGAGCGCAGTAGGGAAAGCGCTGCTGTGTGTCCACACTGACAGCTACAAGCGCACTGGCGTGGCCACATTTGCAGCACTTACAGCGGCCAGAGAGAGCAGTGCATTGTGGTAGCTATCCCAGCATGCAAGTGGCTGCAGCGTGCTTTTCAAATGGGGGTGGGGTGGAGTGTGACAGGGAGTGTGTTGTGTGTATGTGGGGGGAGAGAGAGTGGGTTTTTGGGGGGCTCAGAGCATGTCAGCATGCTGTCTTGTAAATTCAGACAGCAGAAGATCCCCTTCTCCCCCTCCCCCCGCCTCTCTCTCTCACACACAGCATTCCACAGTAATGGTTTGCTTTGATATCCACATTCCTGCAGCGATTCCAAAACAATGACAAGAGTGGCCACTTGATTTCAGGGGATTATGGGACGTTTCCAGAGACCGATCAGAGCGCAGTAATGCAACACCTCATTCACACTGTCACCCAGGCGTTTCACCCGAGGCGCACCAAGCGTGATGCTTCTCGCCAAGGTGGAGTACCAGGAAAGCTCTAGCCCTGGAGTCAGAGCGCTCTACGTGCCTTGCCAGTGTGGACGGGTCGTGAACTAGGGCGCCTGGGGCTGCTTTAATGCGCTCTAACTCGCAAGTGTAGCCAAGCCCTGAGTAAGGCCTTCTGTTTGGAAACAAGTGAGAACTGGTCAAAAATTCTTTTTTATTGTTGCTTTTGTTAAGTATTGGTTTTTCAATGCGGTTGCTTAACAGAGTTGCAGTATTTAAGGCAAGACTATGGCTTGCTCTATGCAGCCAGGCAGTGGAGTGAAGGTGTATAAGGGTCCCCCATTTATTCCCTGCATGACCCCACAGCATCACTGACCAGTGCACAGGAAGAATAGCAGATTCCTCAGGTCCACTCTTCCCCTCCATACAGGTGGGCAGGGAATGGGCAGAGAGGGGCATGGAATATGGCAAGTCAGAGCAAAGAGAGAAGTAATCTGCTATCAATATAAATCCATAGCAGATTACTTCCCCTAGAGCAAAACGGGATGAATTGTGACCGCTGGACTACTCCAGGGATGGTCCACTACACCTTGCTTCTTATGCAGGGCACCAGGTATAGTCACAATCAAGCCATTAATGAGGATTGTCTAGCAACGTTTCTCATTTCAAATTATTTTTAAATGTACCACTTTGAAGGAATGTTAGTCAACTGCACAGCTGCAAGCGGCACAGAGATAGCACCTAGAATAACACTCTACACCGCTGAAGTCTGCTTTCCGCTAGCATCCAAGTTCTCTCTGCTTTTCACAACTGAAGTGTCACATTTAAAGACCCGATCAACCCACTAAGTGATACGGTGCTGCGGACGGGAGCCTTGGAAGAGCTAACGATGTTTCCAGTGTTGCTCATTTCTCCTACTTTTGATCTGTTCACCTGGAAGGCTCTAATTCCTAAGATCTCTTTCATCTACTCTCGGCAGGGCCGGCTCTAGGTACCAGCACTCCAAGCATGTGCTTGGGGCGGCACTTTCGAAGGGGCGGCACTCTGCCCCCCTGCTTTTTTATTTTTTTTGCTGGGAGCCCGTGTGAGGACAGGAATAGCAACCCTCCCCTTTTGCAACTAGGTGCACTTTTTGCCACGCGACCATCAAAGTAGGGCACCATGGGACTCAGCGAGGAACTGGCTGGTGGGGCGAGCGCGGAGGGGAATAAACCCCCAGCACCTCTGTGCCGGGCAGGAGGATGGGGTGCAGCTGTGCCTCTGTGCTCCCATCATGGCAGCAGCTGCTGCTGGGAGAGGTTCTGCCGCTGCAGCTTCTCCTCCTGCTGCTCTTGCAAGTGGCGGAGGCTCCTCCAGCCCCTGTCAGTGCAGAGAAGAGCCTGGTTTGGAGTCCCGGTCCGGAAGCGGAGCTCATGCTGCCCGTCAGGTATTTCTACATCCAGTCGGTTCGCGCAGCTGGACAGAACTTCACCCGCTCCTCCCCTCCTCCCCCGCACTGTGCACACATCTGCTCTTTAGCCCCGTCTCTGATTGTGGCTTTTGTTCTCCAGGCTGTGATCTGAGCCGCAAGCCTGGCTCAGGGGGGTCTGGGGCTAAGAAAACTGTCACCGGAAGGAGTTGACTCAGGATGAGAAGCGGATCCAAAGAGCCTTAAGTTTTTCCCCCTACGCTTTCCCCTTTCTAGCCCCCGAGGTGCTTTGGTGTGCTCCAGTAACCCAGGCTCAATCTCTGCTGCTTTTTCATCTTGCAACGTCAGAGGCATCTCACAATAATACATGTATGTTTAAACACATAAAGTCTCACGCTGTGATAAGCTCACCGACAACATTAAAATCCTACATTACTCTTCCACTGGCCAGTGTCTTTCCATGCAACCCTGCATCTTCTCTCCAGTTTCCTAAATAATAGGAACAAAACCAAAAAAAATGGCAAAGAGCAAATGTGTAAAAGACAAAAAAGGGGGAGGGGAGGGAGGCCAAAATTTTTTTTGCTTGGGTAAGCAAAAAACCTAGAGCCGGCGCTGACTCTCGGGGTTGTTCAGTTTTGATGTTTGCGTCTGATTATATTGGCCAGTGCCTCATTGCAAGAAATCAAAGTACATAGAGTATAATGTGAACACGAGGCAGACCCTGGTAACAAGTAATAGCCACATCATGGGCTGAATACACTCTAAGGCTAAAGGTCTGTTTATAGCACATATTGTCTGAAGCCTTCAGCACCAGGGTATTATTTCCGGGCAGAGGTGACAGAAACCACCCCCAAGTTAGTATCATCAGGCTGATTTTTTTCATGAAATTTTTGACATGCATTTTCAATGAAAGAGAAGGAAATACATGACAGGAAAACACAATGGGCTGCCGGACTGCTGAAAAGAGAAGCTGTAAAACCACAGTAAGCAGAGCCTTTTGTCCCCTCCGTCCACCACTCCCTCCCTGGCTATGTCTATGCGGCAGCCCAGTGGGCGAGTACAGCAGGTGTGGATAGACCCAAGCTGGCTTTAATCCAGTTAGATGAAAGTTAGGTTGGGGAATAGCTGCGAAGCCCACCTGGGGCCCTGGGTGCATACCTGAGCGGCCTCTGCCCATGCTGGAGTCACACCTCCCAACTGCCGTGTAGACATACCCACTCTCGCTGCACTTTCTCTTCTTGTTCGGTTCTCTCTAGCCTTCCCCTCACCTCCTGGCCCCGCTCCCCTCCCTACAGGGCAACAGTCTCCCCCAGAATCCAGGGGATTTATTTCAGGTTACACTGTGTGTCAGAACCAATCTGGGAGGAAAGGTTGGAACGCTGGCAACGTGAACGAAGGGCTTGCGTCACCCTCCTGGGCACATGGAGCTGCAAACTGGGGCCCCCTGTCCTTGTGAGGGTGTGGCTGTCATGACACAATCAAATCTACTCTTACAGGGCCAGCGGCAGCCCCTTTTCTCTCAGTGCGTGGCACCTCACTCTGGAAGCAGCCCCCCGAAATAAGGCCCCTATCTGACAAAGCCTTACATGTGCATGACATATGATTAAAGTGAGATTTTTCACCCCCTTCTCTCGGCACTCGTAAATCAGGTGTGACTTGGCACTGCAGCCGGCTGATAAAAGTGCGATTTTCGAGTTGATGATGTCCCATTCATTGAATCTGGTTTCGAGTTTATACATAGTTAGAAAAGACTGTTAATGACAACGAACGGTTACTATATGTGTGCATGCCCATGCAAGAATGTCTGAGTATGCACGTTTCAGAGTAGCAGCCGTGTTAGTCTGTATCCGCAAAAAGAACAGGAGTACTTGTGGCACCTTAGAGATTAACAAATTTATTAGAGCATAAGCTTTCGTGGGCTACAACCCACTTCTTCGGATGCATAAGCTTATGCTCTAATAAATTTGTTAGTCTCTAAGGTGCCACAAGTACTCCTGTTCTTTTTGAGTATGCACGGTGCTCTATGGGTCAGCTCCTGCACCAAGGAAATCAGTGGACGTTTTACTGTTCCCTTGACCGGGAGCAGGAGCTGTAAAGGGCTGACCTTAAACTTTGTGAAGACAATGCTCATTGAAGCTGGGGAGGCAGTGAGGCCTAGGGGCTAGCGCACTAGAGTGGGACTTAGAAGACCTAAGTTCTATTCACAGCTCTGCCATTGACCTTGGATAAGCCTCTTTGTGCCTCAAAAAGAACCGGAGTACTTGTGGCACCTTAGAGACTAACACATTTTTTTGAGCATAAGCTTTCGTGGGCTAGAACCCACTTCATCGGATGCATGGAGTGGAAAATACAGTAGGAAGATATATATACACAGAGGACATGAAAAACGGGTATTGCCATACTAACTATAACAAGAGTAATCAGTTAAGGTGGGCTATTATCAGCAGGAGAAAAAAAACTTTTGTAGTGATAATCAGGATGGCCCATTTCCAACAGTTGACAAGAAGGTGTGAGTAACAGTAGGGGGGAAAATTAGCATGGGGAAATAGGTTTTACTTTGTGTAATGACCCATCCACTCCCAGTCTTTATTCAAGCCTAATTTAATGGTGTCCAGTTTGCAAATCAAATTCTGCAGTTTCTCGTTGGAGTCTGTTTTTGAAGTTTTTCTGTTGGAGTATTGCGACTTTGAGGTCTGTAATCGAGTGACCAGGGAGGTTGAAGTGTTCTCTGACTGGTTTTTGAATGTTATAATTCTTGATGTCTGATTTGTGTACATTTATTCTTTTGCATAGAGACTGTTCGGTTTGGCCAATACATGGCAGAGGGGCATTGCTGGCACATGATGGCATATATCACATTGGTAGA